TTGATTCTGTACATGACAGAATATGAGACCGCGTGATACCAGTATTTAATTGGTATGCATGACTGTATCATCATGCAACGAGCTTTTGTGTTGATTGTTCTATTTGAACGCTCAGCCACGCCGTTCTCTTCCGGAGTGTGAGGAGACATAACACGAGTGATGATACCCAAGTCTTCCAGGTATGGAGTAAGGAGCCCGTTGATGAACTCGCCTCCTCCATCAAATGAGAACATCTTAAGTTTCTCACCCGTCTGTCTCTTGGCAAAACTGATGTATCGTTTGAAGACTTCAAAGACGGTCTCGGCACTTTTGTCTGGTAGGCCAAAAGAGACTCGGTAACTACTATAATTGTCTGTGAACAATATATAGTATTCCTCTTGGTTGACAGAAGAAGTTCTAATTATTCCACTCAAATCCACGTGCACATTTTCTAGGAATTTGATAGCTCTAGGCCTAGTGGATGAAAATGGTAGGCGATGATTTTTCGCTAAAGGACATACTGGACATCTTGTTATTATTTCAAAATCATTTGTAGTGACAGTTTTAGGAAGTACATCATCAAGATAACCAAGGCTCCACATTCTTTTTAGGTACTTTTCACTTGGGTGGCCTAATGAATAGTGTAGTTTCAAAATTGTGAGTTGATTCGACTTTGATATTGATGATAGATGTGAACGATGACTGACCGGTGATCTTATGGCCACGTACATCATACTGCCTTCTCCGATAAATTGTCCTATGAATAGCTCCTTCTTCCCATGATTGATTCGAAAATGAGGATCTTCTAGCACAGTCGTAACAGCACCAGCTCTCAGCAAACGACCTCCAGCGATGAGGTTTCGGGATAAATCGGGTACATATAAACAATCCTTCAGCTTGATGATTTCTCCTTTAGAATTTAATAAGTTTACATTCCCAATTGAGTGGATATCGAGAGTAGCACCTCCTCCGGCGAGATTCAATTTAGCACCGGGGTCATGATTTTCCATTAATGTAGCGGATTCGAATAAGCTCGCATCATGAAACATGTGATGCGAAGCTCCGGTATCGATCAGAGCGACTGAACCACATTTATCTCCAGCACAGGTTACTTGAGGATCGGCCGAGCATGAAAACTTTCCATCAATCTCTACTCGGTAACTAACTTCTCTTTCTTCAAGTTTGAGATTTTCAAAAGCCATATCGAGTTCTTCTGAATTTGGGAAATCAGAAAGATTAGAATGATGATTTAATCCTCTGGCTAGATGAGCACCTCGGCCACCGCGACCTCTACCACGAAAACCACCACGACCTCCACCACGGCCACCACGTGGATACTCGATCCATTCTCCAGATTCTTGTTTGGATCGTTTCCATGACTCCATTTTGCTGGCATTGTTAGGGTGATGGTAACATTCCAACTGATCGTGAGGTTTTGTTGGATGGTCCTGACCTAGGCATTTAGTCTTACTGCAAGTTTGCCATCTTCCAGTCCGGCGGCTTTGACTGGCTTCGGAAGATTCTGCGATACGACTAGACTGTTGCCGATTGGAGGAAAACATTTTTCGAGTTTGGTAGGTTTTCTTCAATTCGGTTTCGAGGTTTCGGAATTTGACATGACCTGCGTCTAATAAATCACAGCCTTTTTCAGCCCAGCTTTGGTTGAGTGATCGGACAAATTGGCGAGCCTGTTCTTCTTCGGACATTTCACCGTTTGAACCTAGGTAAGCGTCAACTTTGGCTCTGAAGATATCAATATATTCTAATAAGTCTTTTGAGGAGGTTTGAGACAAATCAGTGATTTCGCTTCGTAACATGAGTTTGACCGACTCTGAATTACTGATATGATATTCGCGGATCGTCTTCCACAGTAAAGAAGGCGACGGTATCGTAATTTTAATACCGTTCTCAAATTTTGATATCATTGATATAAATCGAGTGGACTGAGTAAGATCAATACTAGATAGTAGCCAGTAAAACAAGGCTTTCTTGGTGGCTGATAAGACTTCGGGGTCCATACCCGTACCTCCAGCATCTTCTGAGTCAAGATAATGGTCATAGGACGTGGCCATTAATCCAAAACGAATCGCGTCGGACCAGGCAACATAGTTGGATGTTGATAACTTGATGTTGATGGTAATCTTATGTAAGATTGAATTCATTTTGATTGACTGACGTTGAGCGGGCGTATCGGTGTCAATTGGTGCAGTGGTAGCCATATTAGCGGATGGGACAGTAGTATGCGCTGAATGAGCTGATTCGGATGAATTTGAATTCTCTGATTGATCTTCTGTCTGAGATCCGGCGTAAGTCTCGTCGGTATCCTCTGAGTATGGAGCTGGGGTGGATGCAGGTGTTGGTAACTGGGAATCGTCAAGTGCTTCTTCTCTTCCTGACATGGATTTGCGTTTCGAATGAAATAACTAAGAGCTGAACCAAGCTCCCGCTACCGTGAAAAGCGACAAATCTCCTTTGTCGAGATACCTGAATTCCCGTGACAGTTTCTAGAAGTGAGTCTCAATCACTTCTCGTCACAATACCTGAAACACTAACCTGAATTCCCGTGACAGTTTCTAGAAGTGAGTCTCAATCACTTCTCGTCACAATACCTGAAACACTAACCTATAAGGTTTGTTCAGGTCACAATATAAAATAAGGAAAAGGGTCGACGCGATGAGTTCAGTAAGATTCTTTTCCTTTCCGTAAGAAGACGGATCAATTTCACCTGAATTCCCGTGACAGTTTCTAGAAGTGAGTCTCAATCACTTCTCGTCACAATACCTGAAACACTAACCTATATAGAACAAAAGATAGAAATAGACAAGTACAAAAAGGACACTACTTGTTAGATGAAGAGAATAGAAAGAATAGACCAGTTGACTATGTATCTGACCTATAAGGTTTGTTCAGGTCACAATATAAAATAAGGAAAAGGGTCGACACGATGAGTTCAGTAAGATCTAGCGTTGACAATGATTCAGATGAAAAAGAAAAAGATAACATCACAGTATGATAATTAGTAACAGTCATATTGAAGATCAAACTAATGGAGAGTAGAGACTATTGATGATAATGTAGTGAAGGGGTTGAACTTACTCTTTTCCTTTCCGTAAGAAGACGGATAAAGGAAAAGAGTATTAGCGCGAAAAGGGGGAGGCGCAATTTAAATAGGGATCATTTAAGTTTGAGTCTGACATCTTAAGTTTGAATAAAACTACTGTATTTTAGTATGTAAAGTGATTTGATACTTAGAGTCTTATTCACCTTTCACCACGGCTGAAACCTAGGTACGAGAGACTGAGGTGTCTCTCAACAACAAGATCTCTTATCTGGCTCTCATGGTCTATTACTATGATCCAGGAGCAGTTGTATTGACGTCGTATCAACATGGAGTTTCACATCGTCTCACCTTTTCCCTCTGTGAATGTGCTAATGTGCACTACGTATTTCCAAAAACTTCGGCTCATGATCTCAAAGACCTGGAAGGTGAGAATGGTGCAATCTTTTTACCTCTCAATGTGCGACCAATGCTCACCATTATGGGCAAATCTGAATACACTGCTCATGTTGAAGCTGATTTGGCTACACAAAAAACTAAAAAATGATTTGAACTGTGTGAAATATTATTTTGTCTCTTTTTTTCCTTCAAGAAGAACTCAATCAAGTTGAAATACACATTGTATGGTTTGGATTGAGCAATTAAAGATGTCATTTTTTCCAAATTTTTCAAAAGAAAACAAATCCCCCAAAACGCTCAAAACCAAGTTTTTGAATGTTAGGGTCCTGAAGGAATAAATCTCATGGAAACTTGAGAACTTTTTTTTAAGGTTAGGGACCAAAAAGGAATTAGTGGGTCCAAAAACCCGAAAAAACAGGAATGAATTAGGTGATTTTGGCCGATTTCTCGTCCCTATCATCTATAGGAGCTAGCCGGGGTCCTATTGGGCCCTTGTAAGATTTGGCTTACACCATGGTCCAAAAGATTGAAACATGCATGGACAGAGTAACCCAGGTCAGCGCAAAGGCTGACACCAAGTGAGCCAAAAAAAAACCTGCCACCAGTATAATTTTGACTGTAAAAGAAAACAGAATCAAGTAGGTCTGAATTCTTCCCATCTCTATGGGTTGAAACTTGCATATTGTAATTTATCTGTTGTCCTATCAAATCCATGTGGGTGTCAGCTTTCCAGCTTTTGTAAAGCACAAAACATATGAATGAATACACAAATATTCTGACCTTGTACTACCTTGTTGTGCAAAGCCTTGATCCGCTCAGCAAGCAACAGGCCGGCGGTTTTTTGAATGAAGCTTGTGACTCTTTCCGCTGCCGCATATGTCTTGGGGTTTACAGCTGCATTGAGAGCTCTCAATATTTCATAGGGCCAAAGGATTTCTGACCGGATGCAAGCATTCTTGATTCTTTGGAATACATGATTCTCCCCAAGACCTGAAATTTGTGGCAGGTACTGATCGTCCATAGGACCCTCTCCAATATCATCCATAGTATATCCTTGGTGTTCCATGCCCAATTGCATCTCAGTGTTGGCCCTAGAAAGGTTCTAAAGGGGAAAACTAATCAGCCACACTTTTGATTGAATAACTCTCTGAAATGACATACCCATTGTGTTGGGTAACCAAATGACTCGCAAGGAAGCAATCCATACACAGCACCCCAACATTGTACAGGCTTGTTCTTTGCTCAACAAAGATTTGGCTGATTCAAATGGCTAGAGGGCACATCTTCACTTGTAGGACCATTGAAGAAGGGAAGAGCATAAACTTGTGCAGCGCCTTCAAAGGCTTTCAGTGCTCTATCCTAAGTGATGGAAGAAAACTTTGTGAAATCTTGTACACATCATAAGCTAGAAAACCAAGATGGATGTACGTAACCAGACATACTGTGACTACTGCTCTTTTTAGGTTTGCTTATGTTTTGATCCAAGTTTTTCACAGGTTGAGGAGGTAAAGCCATGACAAGCATTCAACCAGCCAAATCAACAAGAACCGCAGCCTTATTGAAAGGTAGTGCACGCAGGGACAGGGACCGTTCAGAGATGAGGAGATTCAAAGCTTTGAGGGTTGGATACCAAAGAGCCAAAGGTCTATCTTGGGTAGTGTTTGGGGTGTAGGAACCAATTGTGGATTTGATGTGTAAAGCACATATCTTGAGATCATTTTGTCTACCTGTGAGGGATTGGAGATTATCAAAATCAAAGAGTATCTTGTCAACAGATTGAGGAATGCACCCAATTGGCAGATGATCAGTCTCTTCTAGAAAATATACAACTGAAATGTCATAACCAATCACTTCAGGTGTGATATTGTGTGGTGTTTGGCGAAGGTATTGGTTGCAGACTGAACTTCACATGTAGTTGTTAGGATAATGGTGAGTGAGGACATTGGTTTTAAATTTTGGGTCAACATGTGGCGTCCACAGTTTTTTTCCTGTACAAGACCAAAGAGCAAAAGTCAATTATACAGATAAAAAATAAAAATCAATATACTGATGATCTTGAGGTTGGTCATATGGTCCTTTGGAATGTTTGGCATTGATTTTGTCACGCGTCCGAGATGGGCCCATTCCTAAACAATAACATGAATCAGTTCTATATAGCATGCTGAGATGAGCTTGAACCCTGTCAATCCTCGTCATCAGCCTACAATTTAATAGCAATTGAGCAGTTTAAGACCTGTCAGTGCTGCTCAGATTACAAAAATGGTGTTTTAAGAAAAATAGTGGTACATAAACTTGAACACCCAACCTGGAAACCCATGGACAAAACCCATGACAACCCAATTGTTTTGGGGGTTTTAGGTTGGGTGTTCATGTTTGTGTGCCACTAATAACTTGTATGATGGATTTTATAAGCATCAAGGGTTGATACCCTTTCATGATCATCATCACAGCACAGCACTGAGCATCTATCTATTTTCAATTTTCTCCTCAAATTCAAAATTAGAAATGACAAAAATGAAGGGAGGGAGAAAACTAAAGAGAATATTGAAAAATCAGAGATGAAAGCACATAATGGGCTGAGATGAGCTTGAAATCTGTCAATCCTCATCATCAGCCCTGCAACAAGAGGTAGCAATGGAGCAACCTGAGACCTGTCAGTGCTGTCCAAATTGCTCTAGTAAACAAAAAACATATAAAGAGAAGAAGAGCAACAAAAGTAATAAGACAATTGGGTAAATATCACAAACCAGCAAGATTGAAGTTTGGGGAGGGGATGGTCAAAGGCAAGGTGTTCAAAGGTAAAGTTTTTATTCAAAAAGAAGAAAGGGCTTTTATTGGTCTCCCAAAAATTGGTAGTCCGAGGTAGCTTCTTTACGCACTTCTACGCATATTGCCAACTTCTATGTGTTGTCCAAACATACCGGGCTGAACTCTGACACCCTTGCCTGAGCAGACTGAGAAAATGTTACCTACCTTCAAACCTTGCAAACCTGTTATGAGATAGGAGTCTGTGGTTTCCGTCGCCATTGATCATGAAGCGAGAAAGTATCAACCAAAGAATGTACAGCTGTTTGCATAAAAAATGCCGTCACCCTTTTTTATTTTTTTATTTTTTTTAAGTTGCACTAAAAATTACCCAGGTAGAGTCTACATAAGAGCTGTAGTAGGCTCTCAACTTTTTCAAGGGTGCAAAGTTTGCAAAAGATCCTCATCCACTATTGTTGCTGTAAATGGTCTTGGTATTGTATATTTGACTGAAATTTACAGTGCCAAGCCTCAAAATCACCAATTGTGTGCAAAGTACACATTGGCACGTACCTTTTCAGTAAAGAATCAGTAGAGATCCAGTAAATCTACAGGACCTATACCAAATTGGTATTTGAAAAATCTACCAAACATACCAAGCCAAATCCATCTCCACCTTTCCCAAAACCGTACTATGCCACATGCATATGTATTTATTTCCTGTTTTCATCACCTGCAATTTTGATTCATCCGTTCATCAATTCAAACTTCAAATGTTTCCTTCTTCATCTCTTAAATCATATCAAAATGAATGCAACTACAATGAAACCATCAGATTCAAACCAACAACAAATCACTCTGCAAAAAATTGATGATCCTTTTGAAAATATGTTTCTCCACATTTTTGTCCCCTAAAGCCTCCCTGTATGGGTAGGATTTCTACATATAATTCCTGAATGGGTCTGCAAGTTTGATTTCCTGAAGTTCTTTGCCCCAAGACAAATTTTGAGGGAACATATTGCCAAAATCACTCTGAATTTGATTGATATACATGTAAATGGTATTTTACAAAAATTTCTGCCATAAACTGTGCCATATTCTGCCTAGAATCAAAGAATCAATCAAAATGTTGACTGCTCATGTACACACCACAATTACATATAGAGATACTGCCCATACAGGAAGGCTTTAGGGGACAAAAATGTGGAGAAACATATTTTCAAAAGGAATATCAATTTTTTTGTGTATGTATATTGATGAAGCTGGAAGATATTCCAGAATCAATTCTCAGGTATAGTACAAAAATAGTATCTTTTGTCGGTGATTTTTTTTCAAACTTCAATGACTCAGTCAATTTATGTCACAAAGGTTAATAAGCTATATATTCTTGGGGGGAAATGCAGGAGCAGGTTTGTACAGATTTATGATGCTGTATGACATCATCTCACTTTTGGTGGTATCCCAACCACTTCTCAACAAATTCTCAATTGATGGATGTTATCCACTTGATATCCATTTCACAACTTTCTCATGACTTTCTCATAACTTGCTAGGCTCAGTGGGATGCACTGCCCTGCCAGTGACTTGTGAGTGGGGGCTGTGTATGCAACCTTTAAAATTCAGCACATCATGATCAACGCAGCTGCTCTTTATGTAGAATTTACATCGGTAATTTTTAGTGCAACTAAAAAAAATCAAAAATGAAAAAGGGCGACAGCATTTTTTATGCAAACAGCTGTATTTCAAATTGTTCCAGAAACAATTTGAATGAACGCTGCAATGCCAATGGCTGAGCAAGTTAAGCGCAGCATAAAACTCACTTCACTGGCCAGCTGCGTTGGCGACAATTCAACTGTGGGTGCTACCATGAAAATCGTGTGCTAAGGTGATTTTCATGGTAGCACTTCAGTGAAATCATCTTCCACCCACCTCTCCACAATGGAGCCTACAACAGCTAAAACAAATAAAAAAACAATCACCAAAAATGTTTGCTTTAGTGTATTGTTTAGGTGAATCTGGGTGATTTTCATAGAACAAAAAGCGTCCTCGGCCAATATGTAAGAATACAATGTTTTTGGAAAAACCAGAGATATATTGCACAACAAGGGGTAAGAAGCTTCCTTGGGTGCGGTCAAATCATGGAGTACCCAAACCAGATTCAACAACTGTCTTTTGATGATATCCATCTTGTACCAATTTCTTCTCCTTTTAATCTCCCAATTCCATTTGATGATCAAGAGGACCATTCCAACCTTTTTCCGAGTTCACACCAAAAGAGTCACGAAAAATCTTGTTGTCTACGTTATACACTTGGAATTGTGGTTAATGGCTTTTTATGATTTTTTCAGTTTTCTACATATACTACAAATATCTACAACATCAGCTAACAACATCTACAACATCTCATGATTTCATAACCAGAAAGGTGATCACTATTCCAAGATTTTTCCTTTGATCAGTAACCATGAAGTTCTACAAAACTCAAGTTCTGTCGATTTTTTGATCTCAATCAACTGCCACAAATAAATAACCGTATCCCTTGACCCAAAAACAATCTACTACAAAATTTACAAAATAGATTTCCATACATCAATGATTCTAATGATCACCACATCTGATTTACCGGCATAAGAGTTTTACTTGAGTTTGAATCCAATTTCTTGACTTTGAACGCTACCACCGTTCAATGGAAATGAGAATAAATAAATAAAGCTCCAATATGTTCAGTAAGACCTTGAAGAATCTCAACAGATCTGCAAAAATCATTTTGATGGATTCCAGCAGTATCTTTGAAAGCATTGATTACAGAGACCTTCACGTGGAATTTTTTGTCGCTCTCGAGACCTATCAACTACAGCGCAGGCGAGACAAGCAGACCAATGTGGATCACGAAACACTCGGTTTTTGATATTTTCTTCTGAAGGGAATCCTCGATAACCAATCTCGGAAGCTGCGCCAAGGAAAGATTCGACTTGTTTACGTGGATACTAAGAATAGAAAATCATCATAAGTTTCGATTTCTATGATTCTCTCTGATGATGACAAAATAGAGTTTGATTTACCTGAAGTTGATCAACTGATGTGTTCGTGATACCAGCTGATCCATCCAAAGGAGCTGAATTAGGTAGCCATACGATCAATGGAACCTCAGGCTCGTTGCACCCGAAGAAATTCGGATGTGATCTTATTTTCTCGTACTCGGCTTCCGAACTTGGAACTCGGGGAAAACTATAGGCGCCTTCTGAAAGCTGAGCTCTATGAGATGCAGCTCGTAAAGAATCTCCAGTGGCATACTCATTTCCCACTGCTCCATCCTACGTCATAGGTAAAGAAAGTTACATTAGAAGCTAACCAAGAAGGACTAGGTGGGAACAAATGTAAGGTAATCATTGATAAAGAGATACTGACCTTGGCTAAGCTCACTGCATCAATACCAATGATGATATCCACCTTTCGGGCTGGTTGTAGCATTGGTAGATAGGGCGTCATACCTGTAATAAATAGGACATTGAAATTAGAATGATGGTATGATCGTTGGCTAAGATGGTAGACGTACTGCCGTCGTAACCTCCGTCTAGGAGGCGAAGATCAGCTGATGTCTTATCCAAATAAGTGTTAGTCCCCTCCTGAAAAAAAGGATTAGGGACTGAGGCTGTATCGAGAGGAATACCGGGCTGGAAGCTTCCAAAAGTAGTGTTGATGAGAGTCATGACCTTGAAAACTGGACTCTGTTTAGAGAGGTAAGCCGGGCTCGTGACAACCTTTGGAAAGATATTACTAGAGACAGCAGCAAGATAACTAGCTTGATCAAAACCTTGAGCACATTTTTGAGTTTCTGATTTTCCACCTTTCAAGCGTGTACCTAAATATTCTGTTGGTATAAAGCTAGCCAAGTTGGTGTCCCAACTTCCGGACTCTATTGGTGTGAATTCGTAAGCGGTGTTCGTCAATGGGACAAAGGCTGAAGGTTGTTTCTTTGTTTCATCTTGACGCGGTGAGAGCGAGGTAGCTGTGATGATAGGAAAAGGTTGTTCAAAACGCTGGAACGTAGGGCTGAAGCCGTAGAATTACAAATAAGCCATCAAACTGGACTTGAACCTTTTGTTTTTGCAAAAAAACGACTTACGCATTTCGAATGCCCGAGAAAGTGACATCTATCCCGTGTGGTAGAGATTGATCAAAGAAGTTACTTTCCGTGGTTCCAGTGATGATATGATAACGCAGCATTAAAGACCAAAAGTCTACTATGGTGACATGAAATCCCGCCTTGACCTTTTCACCCATTCTTGCCGCAATGTCGGCCAAATATTTTGCATTCTTCTCTTCAATTCCCTTACCATCAGGAACTGTTTGATTATCAGCAGGCTAATGGTTGATAAAAAGTTTACATCAATTTTCAATCAGAGTAATTCATAATAATTCAACTTGACTCACACTGAACAAATCATATTGTAATAAAAGACTTCCAAACTGGCTAGCCGTGTTTTTGCCCTTGGGAGAACGTCCTGAAAGAGCTAAATCATAAAGTGTTGGGAAATTCGCCTGAGCGAGAGCAGTGACCACCCAAGCACCTCCACTAAGACCAACAACATAATCACTAGCTTGTAAAAGTCCACCCGTACCAACCTGAGCTGAGGTTTTGTTTCTTCCATCAAACGCATTCAAAACACCACTCGCATACAATGAAGCACGGAATCCTCCGCCAGAGGTGGCTAAAGCTGTACGAGGTAGAATGTTGAGATCTTTTGAGGCGAGGATGGTTTCGAGGTATTTAGGTAATACACTGTTACTAGACGTAGTACTGTTAGAATCGCGTCGAGACTGAGTAGAGGTATTGGCTTCGGGGCGATTCTTCTTTCCAGCCGCTGCAGCTTTCAAGCTTTGCTGGACGTTACGCAGGAAAGTCACATATGCTGGACCAGCTATTTGTTGACGACGACGCTGTAAGTAATGAAGTTCAGATGGATTCAATTGTTGAGAGCTCTTGGTACCTGCCTTTCGAAGTGAAAAGTTGGCAGGACACTGAATGTAACCGATAGAAGATACCTGATCAAGCAGGGTTGAAGTATATACAATGAAGAGGAAAAGGTTGAATGCGAAAAAGGTGGAATGGTTGAAGAGTTGATACATTTCGAAAAAGGATAGCTAAGATAAGAAGCAGACAAGACAGATAAGGAAGGCTTACGACTACGATGCAAATCAAACTAAAGGACTGAAAAACAACACAAGATGAACTATTTATAATGAGATATGACTATACTATAGACAAGAAACTGAGACTGATGTAAACAAAGACAAAAAAAACATCAGAGAAGAAAGTTGAAGCGGGTGAAGCGAGGTGAAGACTGAGATTTCATAAGATAAATCCTGATTTCAATCAACACCGTAAAATCAAGGGACCTCATTCGAGGCTCTATTCACTCCAATCAGAAGCATTGTTATCTAACCAATCAATTTTAAGCCTATATACCCTGACTACAGTCTATATTTCAATCCTTCAGGTGTTTTTTCATTCAGGTTGAATCTATCTCAGGATCTTGATTGGTAGGAAAAACAAAACTACACCCTCAAATAACCTTACTTGAGCCTACCCTACCCACTCATTCACCGAGGCAGGCTGATGAGAAATATTTATGACTGACACATATATGGCTTCAGGGAATGTGCACTCAGAGTATCGCATGGCACCCTTGCTGATAGACAAATCCACAGTGATCAGAAATCTGTGTGATCATGTACAGTCAAGGGACTAAATCTCTTGCTCTCAATTGTCTTACCCTCCAATTGTCAGCCCATACCATTGCAGAGGAAAATCCAACATAGGCCTTCCAAAAATCGTCGGCAGGTTTCGTGTCTACTCTCACGTATCGCCGCCGGAACCAAGCCAGAACAGAAACCTTAAGCATAAGAGGTGGTTCCATTAGATTTTGTGATGAAGACCGATTAGTAGATCTAATGTCAGTGCAATGAGAGGTTGGATTTTCCCCACTCCAGAAGAAATCAAGAGACACAAAAGACATTGAGAGCAAAGCAATCCTGGCACTGCAAAAGACTTTTACTCGTTGGGTTCTGTGTCTATAGCTTTTCTTAGTCTTCTTCCATAACATTAATATAGACCTGAAATATACAGCACTCTTCACTGAGATAATTCGGATACTTTGTGCAGAAGATCCAAACGTGCCTCCAATGCAATCATTGAAGTCTCAAAGATGATCTCCAGACTCTAGACGAGTCAGTATTGAGTTCAGTACCTCTTTATAGCCATGATGACATATGACCATGTTCTATAGTCTTGACCATAGCTTTAACTACTTAATGACCAAAACGCGAAAAGATTTAACCAACCAGTTTCTTTCGAAAAAGAAAAAAAGCAAATTCACGTCTCCAAAAGCAAACACTCGAATTCGTACCTCAATCAAAACCAACTTACTCATTTAAACCAAACTTCAAGGTATTTTTCAGGAACGAATCAAGAAAACTTAACGAAAATGGATGAAGATAGAGAAGTTTCAAGATTACATCGAGTGAATCGTACAATCAAAGAATTAGTTAGAGATCGAGTCAGTCTTGATTACATTTCTTCCGAAGAAAAAAAACAAAAATCATTCAGAACTCAACTTGAACTGATCATATTCTCAAATTAATCAAAATCTAAAGGGATACGAAGTTACTGAAGATGAAATTAAAATCTCATTAAACGATTTCAGAATGCAAAAACTTTCAAGTGGAATAGTAGAGTAATCTCCCCTTCCCCAAGAAAAACTACAAATCAAAACAAAACAAACACAAATTTCTATAATCTTAAACTGATCTCTGATTAACTTTTCTTTTTCAAATTAATCATTCAAACAGTCGATCAGTCCTAAATTTCGTTGCACAAAAACCTGATACAGATGAAAGGATTTATATATTTTATACCGATGAAAAATCAGTAGGAATCAAAACCATGAGAAAGTAAGTTCTTGTTCATTCACAATACCCCTTTGAAACAAAAATCACCCCCCCTGCAAAAACCACCTTTCAACCACCACCAATTGATCAAACTCAACTTTTTCTATTTTTATTTAGGTTTATCGGTGTCTTAGACGAACGTAAAATTGAAACCGGTATCCTAATCTACGCATCAGCCATGACTCCATCAGCCAACAAAGTCATCGTTTCAATGGCCCAACAATTCACCTTAGAAGCTTTTCAAGAAGCCGAATTATTAGTCAACATCACTCATCATATCATGGTACCTAAGCATGAAGTGATGAAACCAGCTGAAAAAGCCGCTTTATTAGCTAGATAGTCAGTTCTCCTTTTTTCCATCTTCTTTCATCATCATCATCCTCTTAATTTTTTACTCACTTTTGGGTTTGGTTTGGGTTTCTTTTTGAAGTCGTCTTCATGATACTCAACTTCCTAGAATTCAACTTAATGATCCAATAGCAAGATACTATGGTTTAAAAAGAGGTCAAGTCGTAAGAATCATTAGACCATCAGAAACAGCTGGTCGTTATGTCAGTTATCGTTTAGCAATGTAACCCAATCAACAAAAACAAAACGTGACCTTTTCTTTTTCTCATCCAATGATCTCTTTGTCTTTCCAGTCTAAATTTCTCCAAATATATATATCTCTTTCTAAAAACTTTTATTATCATCACGGATTCTGTTGGCAGAAATACCTTTACTTACTTACTCTCTTGATCCCAAAAAGAAAATTGTGACTTGGAACAAAACCAAAAAAAAAAAAACTTTTCAAATCTGTAACTAGCATGTTGTATGAATGACATCTTCCAATTGATTTTCTTCATAAACCAACCTATCATCATAATTCTTACTTTGTTCCCCTCAGTGCTGTGCAGTAATCTAATCTTGGTTTTAAACTTCGAATTGAGAAAGTCTTCAACTTTTCCCAAACTTTAAAGAAGACAATCAAATCTCATTTGAACGACTTTTTGTTTTCCTTCTCCAAAATTTCATATTCCGACTACAAAATTCAATTTAAAGAATTTTACAATTTTCCTTTTGAGGTTTGTTTCATCACTTGAGTCACTTGTATCTTATAATCTTTTTAAAATCAAAATAAATACAAAAACTTAAAAAGAATCATCACCAAGATCCAAAACAAATGAGCTTGACAAAACAACCAGTTTTCTTCCAAATACACTTTCAATGTATGATGAGACTATATATATATATAGATATATATAATTCTTTTTTCTTCTACAACACAATCAAAACCTAAACTTTTCTTTTTCTTTACCATTCGAATGTTTCCCAACTCCAGCGTCTCTTTTATTCCTCTTAGCCGATTCTTCTGCCACCAAATCAGATAAATCTTCTCTACCACCTTGTTGATTTCCAATCGATCCATTCAAATTCACTCTCTGTTTAGATTCTTCATACCTTTGTCTTAATTCTTCTTCTGAAAGTCCTTCTAATTCAGATGGATCTAATGTGACTTCTACTCCAGTTTGTTTACGCTATATATCAAAGAAAAATCCAAAATCATCAAAGTTTCATTCAGTTCAATACTTCTCAAATTTAAATCCAAAGGAAAAACTCTTTCATTCCTTACCTTATTCCCTCGATCTTCTTGTCCCAACATCGCAACATTATGACCTTGTTGAGAAATCCCCCTAACATCATAAACTCTCTCACTCCCCATAAAACCTGTGACTTTACTTTCTTTTTCTGGTATCACTTGATACAAACTCTTAGGAGCTCCATTCTCCATTCCATCTGATTCATTCATTCCAGTACCTTCTCTTCTCTTACGTAATTCCAAGAAATCAGGTGTTTCCAATCCACCCGGTACCGTCGAAGTAATCGAGGCTAATCCAGATGGGGTTTCTAATCCAGTAGGGGTTTGAAGTCCTTCTGGTTGATGACTTGCTCCTCCTGTTTCTTCATCTGATTCTTCTTCGGATTCTTCTTCTGATTCCTCTTCATCTGATAACAATTCTCCCCAGAATTCTTTCGAAACCGGTTCTCCGTACTAGATAGATTCGCATCAATAAATCCAATTCATGAGCTTCGAATCAATACACTTCGAATCAGTTCAGTTCATCACCTACCGCGTTATCATACTTTGGTACCTGCCCAAACACATCACCATACAATGGACGTCCATATTCATCTGTAGGAGGTTTACCCCATCCACCCGGATGATAACCCCACTGAGCACCTTCAGGTATAGGAGCATTCAAACCTGGAATCTTCAAATTAGGATAACTCGGAGGTGGACCATATCTTTGCATGGCAATCAACCAAGGAGGTGGAGCCAATGGAGGGATCGATAAAGCTTCTTTTAAATCTTCTGATAAATCTCCTGGTCGTTTTTCTTTTAATTTCGTTTCAAACTCTTTACCTTCGTAATACCTTTTCTTAAACAAATTCATCATAAGTTCAATACATGAAAACCTCTTAATTCAAATCAAGAGTTGGGTAAGAAAGAAGACGAAAAAAAACCTAATCTTACATTTCACCAAAAGTTGTCATCGGGGGTGGGATTTGATATTTAAAGAATGCGTCATGAAGCTTTTGATAATCGATATCAATCTTTCCCATCTTAGGTTGAACTCTTTCTCTTGTCTTTTGTCTTAAAGATTGTTCTGATTCTTTTTCCTTAATAGCATCTCTCTGAGTAGCAATTCCAGTATCGGCAATATAACCTTGTCAAAAAACCAACAAGATTCGTCAAAAAAAAAAGAATTCACCAACAACCATGAATGTTTAGACTAACTTGGTAATTGAAACGCAGGTTTTTCAATCCCACGTTTACCCTGTAAATAATCCCTCTTTTGACTCCAATGTGCCGGAATAGGTACCGTGTTTCGATAACTCTTAAGTTGGACTAATAACTTTGGATCTTGTGCTGCTACATCTACCCATTCTACTACTTCTGGTTTTTTAACTAATCGTTTTAATTCGGCTACTGATAATCTTGCCATCTTTCTTTGTTTTCGTTTGGAGATATCTGGTTTAGGTGTATCTGAATCTCCACTAAATTCGATTCGATTCGATTCGTTGTAATTAGATTATGTCTTGGTAATTTTGAGAAAATGATCAGTTACTTACTCTGATGGCATTTCATCATCCGAATAAATCACTTGTCCTTTTCCAAGATCTTCAGCTTTACCACCATTCACATCGGTCTAAACCAAAAAAACCAAAACAAAATCCATCAATCTCTGCCAACCCTTGCTTCAGATCTTCGTTTCTTCGATCAATCAATCGATTCTAAACTCAACTCTTTGATCCTCTTCACTTAACTCAGGCTGAAATTTTGCAAACACGTCGGCAAAGAGTTCAAATGTGGTAGGATCTTGTTGATCGATCTTTATGATCTCATCCACTAACTCTGATGAAGAATCCATCTCACTTCGATCACCATTTTGATCTTGCTCGGTTTCTGACTATCAAACGAAATCAAAGAAAGAGAAAGAAAGTTAGTAAGAAGAATGTAGTCATGAGGTTTTTTGATGATGAATGGATATGAACCTTTGAAATCGAATGAACCTGATGAGTTTCTTCTTGAATCGATAGTTTCTTTGGTTTTTGTTTTTGTTTTAATCTTTTTAATTGACCTCTAGTTAAACCTTTGGTGAGATTAGATGAAAGACTTGATGTTGTTGTTGTTTCGATAGTTCCATTTGATTGGTTAGTCATTTTTGATAAACTTGATTGATAAACTGAACAAGTTACTCTTGAACTGTTTTGGTGCTCAAGCTTCCTTGTCAAATCTAATTTCAAATTAATCTCTAAAATTAAACTCATCCTAGGTACATAAATCAAAATTAAAACCCTAGTACTTGAGTTTATCGGTGGTACCTTAAGTCCCTCTTCTTAACCACTTTCATTTCTCTCTTCAGAGATCTTGCATTTCATCAACTCTGAGCCACTTCTCATTCTTATCAATTTTGTTTATATATACATACATTTTTCTTGATGTTCTAACTTGGGTTGAGATGTGCTCACTATAGCTTTACTTTCTTGCTCAAAACAAGACATTCAAGATCATTATTCATGTTATGTTTTCCTATGAGATATTTGACAAGATGTTGATAAAGCTATATGTATTGTACACTCAAAAGTAAGTGTGCCCTTTGTTATTGATCAAGGGAATACTGAAATCTCATCATAAGTTGAGCAACAAGGAAGTTTGTCTGTATCCTCAATCTCACTGCCCTACATCACCTTGACCTCCTCCACTACATCCTTGAAGTAATATTCTCATACCCTACATATCCGAAAGATTTCCACACTACCATCCAAACAGCTAGTCAACACGCCACCTCTTGACATCAAAGTCATCATACTATCCTCAAGAAAACTTACCATCTCTCAACCAATTCATTTACAAAAACATCAAATTTCAAATCCAATCTGACTCTCTCAGTCAACACAAAACTCCTTAAATTAAAGATCCTGAATTCCAAACGACACGATTCCATCGACCATTAACCATTATTCTATGCTTTATATTTCAAACCATCTTTAATCAAACTATGTAAATGATCCTAAAACTTCACCATAAATTCATCAAATTCAATAAAAACTTCATTCATCTATACTATAAAAAACGTAATGAATTCCAAGTGAAAGATAAAATAAATCTGTAACGATCTTTAATCACTCAAACATAATCAAAAACCAAAACCATAAAATAATCCATTTTGTTATCTCATTTCCTTCCACGTTTTTGTTTTGTTTTTTTAAAATTACTACCACCATGAATTTCATCTTGATCTTGATGATCATGATCTGTACCGATCCCATCACCACCACTCTTCCTTTTCCTATTAAACTTATTTCCATTCCTTTCAATCTCTCTCATTTCCCTTGCCACTTCTCTCGCCGCTTCTCCCACTCTTTCTCCCAAAACCATCACCTGTTCCTTTTGATGTTCAAACTCGTTCATCTTCTTTCCAATCACTCCTTCAATCCTCTGTAACAATTCAACATCATACTGAGTGACCAAAGTGATCGATTTACCTGATCTACCAGCCCTTGCAGTTCGTCCAACTCGATGAATATAATCTTTTGAATTCGTTGGTAAATCGAAATTGATCACACAATCTACTGCTGGAATATCTAATCCACGTGAAGCCACATCTGTAGCAACGAGTAGAGACTGATCACCCGATTTGAATTTATTCAACGCTCCTAGTCTAGCAGATTGAGATAATTGACCATGTAACGGAACAGCAGGAAAGCCTAGAGTCCTTAGTATAAGTGATAATCTAGAAGCATCATGAACCGTTCTCGTAAACACAATCAAACTTTTCCCACTCAATTCGTTGGCCAAATAAACTAAATAAGTATCTTTATGTTTGAAAGGTAAGAAAAGATACGTTTGAACTAAAGCTGAGACTGTATCATACTTGGCTGAGACTTCAACTTTTACTGGATTGTTTAATGATGCTCTTTGAAGTTTGGCGACTTTTGTTGTCATGGTTGCACTGAAGAGGTACGTTTTACGTTCTTTTGGTATCACTTTTAGGATCTTATCTATCACTGGTCCGAAATCCATATCTAATAATCGATCAGCTTCGTCCATAATCTTTAAAAATCATTATATAAATTCAAAATTTAAGATCAGATATTGAACTGTTTTGTGATGATCAGTTTATTGTGAAAAATTCTCAAAGATTGACTTACCAAGAATTGTAAGTTCCTAAGACTAAACCCCTTGGTATGTTCAAGATGATCATGTAATCTACCAGGAGTAGCCACAATCACATGAGGCTATTTTCCAAGAATTGATAATAATGTTAACAACAATCAGGATCAACTTGAAAAAAATCATTTCAAATTTTGTTTATATAAGAAAATCAGATCAACAAACCCTTTTAGACAAAGCAATAGCCTGACTCATCATATCCATCCCACCCACAATAACCACAGTCTTAACCCCAATAGTCGATCCAAGCGCATCAAACTGTTGACTGATCTGATAAGCCAATTCACGAGTAGGAGCCAACACACAAGCAAAGAAAGCACTAGGCGAATCCCAAAGAGATTGTAAGACAGGCAAAGCAAAGGCAGCTGTCTTACCTGAACCGGTTTGTGCTAGTCCAATGATATCTTTGTTTTGTAGGGCGTAGGGAATTGATTCGGTTTGGATTGGGGTGGGCGTTTTGAAGTTTAAGGATTCACAGGCTTTACAGAGTGGTTCGATTAATCCTAGTGAGGCGAAGGTGATGGGTTCGGTCTCTTTGGTTTCTTTTTCTTCTTCTTCTTCTTCTTCTTCTTCTTCTTGGTCATCTTGCTTGAGTTCTTCGTTGTCTGAATGTGAATTTGATGAAGAACTTGAAGATGATGCTAATGGTTTTCCATCTTGAGTTGATATTTGAGTTTGATTTTTTGTTGATAACATCTTTGATATGATATGATACGGTTTGGTTGGTTGGTTGGTTGGTGTTTTGATTGGTTAAAGTGAGTTCAAATGAAAAAAAATAGAGACTGAGTACACCTATAAGCATACTATGGTCTGACTCTAATTTCCAATGAAAGATGCTAATAAGTGAGCATGAGACTGTATGGTTATATGCGCCATTGAAATCCATTCCGAGCTGATTATCATCTTCGGAGATTTTCATTGAACAGACTTCAACAATCCTCAAGAACTCAATCAACTTTCAAACTATCAAATCTATCAACTTCACTCTTACAAACCAAAGATGCCAGGACGAGAGGCCGGAAAAGCTAAAGTCTTTCATTCTTTCTAATCCAATCCAAACTCCATATCTCATCACAAAATACTGATGATCTCCGAACTTGATTTCCTTTAATTTCATTACAATCTATTAGCCTTTAAAAGCTGCCAAGAAGGCTCCCAAGGAAGAAGACGAAGATGATAAAGCATTCAAGGTAACTTTCCACTTCTCAATCTCTTCATCCCTTAATCTAGATATATACGAGAAGTATATTGACGATTCCTTTTACTTTTCCTTCTGACTTGATGATAAATTCCTTTCTAGGCTAAACAAAAAGCAGATGCAGAGGCATTAAAAGCTTTACAAGTCAAGGCTGGTAAAGGATCACTTGTGACTAGTGGAATTAAGAAGTCAGTCATCTTTTTGATAATTTTCAAGATCTTTAGACTATTGGGTTCATCTTAATCCCGTTCCAAGTACTGAACGGCTCTTCTCTTTGACTTTGGTTCTAGGTCTGGAAAGAAGTAGTGATCTATATCCCAAGTCTTAATCATCACGATCTCATAACCTTTCTTGACCAATCCACTAAACACACGGTACGTAAATGAAAAGTCGAGGTTGTATTGTATAGGTCCATAACCATCTAACCACTTATACATTGGCCAACGATCATCCAAACCATCATTCCTCCAATCATAGTTTTCCAAATCCAAACAATTCTAAATCATTTCATTTCTGTAGTACTCTCGTAGTGTTTTTTTGTACATACGCTTGGTTTTCCACCCGAGAATGATGTGTAGTTAAACAAATAAATAGTAGGATCAGTTGAATCATCATCATCAATGGAATCATGAATCAAATCGAATTATCAAACCTAACATAATTCCTCACCTTTATTCATTTGATGACTCATGAGATCATGAGCTTGAAGAAAAACTTTGACCATTTTGCTTGACATATGGACTACCTTGAGGGTCTCAATTTGTGCTGACGAGATGATGAAAATAACAAAGAATAACTGGCATGACAGAGGCAGTGGCACCTCTTGAGCTTCTCCTCTCCATACATATATCACACAGGAAGTCAACTTTTTGAAACGTCCTGGTTGGTAAAGTTGATGTATGTACATCTTATACATTTCTTTTGTGAAAAGGTATATCAGCTACATAGTACCTACCCAATGAACTTCTGAGTCCCCCCTTTGATGCAAGATAAGAAACTCTTGACTGATCCGCCAGCTTTCGTTGATGTAATCCTCCACAAGTTGCAGTCCTCTTCAAGAAGTATTCCAAATACCTAGAGAATAGTTCATTCTGATGCCAGCTTATTAGGCAATATGATCCACGAAAACTGATTCAATATAGGATATAAATATCAAAGTCTTTGAGTCATCACCCCGCTGTTCCCTTAGACCTTTCATAATCATAATACCAAACAAAAGTTTCATTAAAAACCAGAACTACTCAACAAACACCAAAACTTCAAACTTAAAGCAAAACAAAAGACTAAAACTTCGATACACTGTTTTTTTCAAATTTGTTGAGTTTTGGAAATTTATTAATTTTCTGCTTGACTGTTCACTGCACTGAAAACAACAATACAGGTTTAAAAAATTCATCATCATATGTAAAAAGAAATCAAAAAAGAAATTACGAAAACAAAAAAAAGTTAAATACAAATTTAAATTCGAAATGAAAAATTAAAATTAAAATTAAAAAAAAAAAAAAAGTAAACCGTTTTGAATATATAGAAACACATCAATCGAAAGAAAAAAAAAACACACAAATCGATCCATTTTAAATTAATATACATCTGACTAAAAAAAACACACAAACTTTTCTCATCTAACTTATGATCAGATTAAACCCTTTGAGGTTCTAAAGTTGACCAGATTATCAAAAAAAAAAACCCACTTTGAAAAAACCTCATGTATGAAACCTAGGATCAATCAGATCAGTAGGTGTATGAGACTGATGAGTGAGCAAAGGTTCAATATGAGCCGTCGAAAGGTTTGCTAACAACCTAAGTTTTTGATCATCAAAAAAATCAAGTGAACCCACAAGAGTGGTTGTAGAACAAGTCGGGATCGGAAACCCAGTGGGTTGATTAAGTCCATGAGTTTGAAACTGAGGATCCCATGAACCAAGAGCTTCTGGTGGATGTTTGGCTTCTGGTGGTGATGGTAAATGTCCTGCTAAACTTGATCTTGATGAAGATGCACTGGCCGCTTGACTTATGGCTTGAGGATCAAATCCAGTTCGATGAACCAGATCAGGTTCAAAACCCACAGAGGAAGGCTGGTAGTACGATGTTTGCGCGTAAAGTTCGGGGTTGATCGCAGGGTTCATGACCATCGGCGGGGCGATTTTACACTTCTTCGGTGCTCGCGCATTAGCCGTCGATCCATCTAAAAACACAACTACATCAGAAACCAAAAGCATCGACTACGAGATAGTTTCAAATCCGTACTGACCTGAAAGCTTAGACTTCTTAGTGACCTTGGCATCCGCTTTAGGTTTGCTCTCTTTGCCCGATTCACGAGGTTTAGGATCAAAGCAAACTCTCGCATAAGGCATATCAGATGCATTCCCATCTTCAAAAGTGACTCGCAACGTTCGCTTCTCTGGATCCCGACTATGATAGAAGACTTGATAAACTCCCTTATTGGTTTTGACTTTGATTAATTGACCAGGAAGGAAAGCCGCGATTTTCTCTGCTAACTCTCTTGATTTTCGTTCCGCTTCTGCTCGTTGATATTGCGGATTATGTTGTTTACACAATACCACAAGCTGTGGCTCTTGCTGTTGGTCAAGTTCGGCTGGGTATCCGGTTGTTGGTGGATCAAGAAGGCTATAAGCTTGACCTTCATGAACCAGTTGTGCATCGAGAAGGAAGAATCCTGTCTTCAAACCACAAGTCACGTGACACGCCTTAGTGCATTTCTGCTTCGTGCATTGAACTTTGGCGCCCATCTTTTCATCGCAGAGCTGACATTTCTACAAAACCGACATAGATGGGATAAGTTCACCAAAAAGCGGAAGATGTACAGCCGGAGAATGTGACTTACCAAAGCCCAACGAGCCTTTTCGATTTGGCCAACTCCCATGGCCACCTCCTCACCTGTGGGTAATTGCTCGATCCATGTACTTGGAGTGAACAGGCAGCAAACCTATAGAGATCAACCAAATAGTTTAGTGGTTAGCTGCTACAGAACAACCAAAGGAATCGAGTGGTACTGACCTTGTGAGCTCGGCGAATCGGCTTAGGCTTCATCGTGATATTGGACTTGACAGGGGGTGCGACATTGTTTTCCTGAGAAGGTACCATGGCGACACTTGTGGTGGTAATGGCTGGTATCGAGATGGTGGGACTGGGCTCCACGATGGAAGTCAGATTAGACGGAAGTGGTTCACCCAAGGGTTTAGGCTCCATAAAGTTGTCATATTGTACAGGTAGACGTCCTTCAATGATAGAATCTGACGTCGTTGGAACCGGATCAACGGGCGGAGGGTTGAGGACTTGAGCAGGGACATCCAAGGGTGAGGGAAGAGGATCTTCGATTATTCGAAGAAGGCCCTCCTCAGATTGTTCAGGACACAGTGCACATGGGAAAACCTTCTTGGCTGACACTTTGGACTTTGCCAGCTTTCGAGGAGCAGTTGAAGCAGTCTCGTTCGAAGTCGATTTGGACTTCTTCGGTGGTGGTGGTAGCTTTGAAAGCTCCGATGGATTTGTTGATGTCTGGGTGCTGGCGGCATCTTGCTTGCCATCATTAAGGACGATAGACAGCTTCTTCTTTTTGTTAGCTTTTTCAGGATCGACCGGCTGCTTCGGTTTTTTTGGTTCCGAGACCCGCTTGCGTTTTTGTTCGACCCGTTCAATTTTTTCCATCTTCTTCCGCTCTGTCTCGAGATTTTGTTCTACCATTTCGTCATGCTCTCGTAGCCATGCATCGACATTGATAGTGACACTGAGAAAAATGCAAAAAGTCAGCCATCATACTCAAATTGAAATCAAATCATACTACAAGAATAAACATGAACATACGCATCATCAATGCACTTGCACGATTTAGCGACCCTGCCTTTCTCAATCCATTGTTCATTAGCAAAGTTCACACTCTCAGCGCAATTATAACCAAGATTGAATCCCGAATGATATCCATATGGGTATGTCAAAATGATTTCTCCAGGGAGATGGACCACTTTATTCAATTGTATACCGCATTGGCTCAGTACCGACGGCGAAGCTAAAAAGGCTTTGTGACGAAGAAACTGAGGGCACGCAAAACGTTCTTTTGCAAACGAAGAGGCCATGAAGCTTTCGAACCGATCATTGTGTTCTTGAGGGATTGAATACCAAAATTTAGGGGCACCGAAATGGATATAGTTGATCGAATACAAGTCAGCGTCTTCGACGTGCCAAGCAAAAGTTCTACATAGTGGGTGACAGAGATGTGAGTCAGAAAGCGGCCAGAATGTTGAAAATAACAGGGCAGAAGCGACTGACGCTCTCCATGCTCCGAAATACAGGTAGGGTGTGTTCACGCCAGGTATCTTCTGCTTCAATTTTAGTCTATTGAGCAAGTTGTCCAGGTTCGCCACATTCCAATGCTTGGTTCGCTCATCAAACAAGGAGCCTGAATCCAAAATGAGGTTCGAAGCATATGGTCAAAAATCAGGATCAAAGTCCAAAAGATCGCCGTAAGATGTATATATAACAAACCAGTGGTATCAGCACCATACATCGGTTCACCACCATTCCCGATAGTTCTCCAGTACTCCTGTTCAATGATTTGACATGCTTTGACAGTGTAATCAGATCGTTGCGCTCCATATGGTAACTTATCATAGCAAGTCACAAATTTGGCCCATTCTTCGTCCGAGGGTGGAAGTGGTCCGGCCCGCTTTGGTTGCTTCGGGACTCTAGATTCTTGATCGGGGGTTTGATTGACAGGGACTTCCAAGGAAGATGAGATCGAAGTATCTGCCAAGTCAGGCCCCGCTCGCGAAACGCTGTGATCCATGTCCCCAGCTTGTTCAACATTATCGACGGTCGCGTGTGAATCGTGTTGAGATATGTCCTCAGCACTCGGTACTCGAGACAATGCTTTGATAGAGTCGGGTGGAGGAGTCGTTTCTACAATTGAAGCCACGTCTAGGCTGTGTGATGGCTGCTGCGAGGAAGCCTGACGTGGTTCGACATTTTCCAAGTTGGCGGATGCCGATGAAGCGTGAATCTCGCCCAAGTTTGTCAACTCAGAGTTTGTAGGTTGCGACTGGGGGAGAGCATTCGAGAGGTTGCAATCAGGGACTGCAGTTATCGGGGTGTCGATCCTGGTCGAATCGTCCATCACACTCCCGGGGGTCCCAACACTTGGGGCCAGCGTAGCAGGTTTTCGTTTTCGACTGGCAGGCTGCTTACACAAGATTGGGGTGACGGGGGTGATATTTCGACGACTGCTTCGAGTAGAACGAGTAGCACGAAGGGAGCATTCAAACTCTGCTTGAGAAGGGTCCGAGTGAGATTGCTCGGCTGAGCCGATAAAGTCAGGCGGTCGATGTTGGGCACTGTTGGCAAGGTCATACCATTCTACAGACGTAGATCAATGGTTAGATGACAGGAAGAGATCAGACTAGTCATGAAGGAAACATACCTAAAGCATTGTAATTTTTACGTTTGGTCACATTCATCACTCGGAATAAACCGCGATTGCCTTGTATGACTTGACTGATTGGAGATTTGATCCGAGCTTGCTTTAACATTTGACCTTGTCCATCTGTCCTAAGGCTCTCTTGACCTAGGTTGGGTAGCTGAGATGACCACTCCTTTGGTGGAATGATTTTGACAATGCCAGAGCGCATGCCCCAACGATCGATTTTATTGATGTACGAATAAAAGTCCTCAAATTGATCCATGCTAGGTTCGATGGAAGCACATCGTGTGTGTGTAAGCATGAAAGATTAGTTGATGAGATCACATTATGATTTCTGTAATCTTGAACTTACCGTGGTTCGAAGACTGGCACACCTCTCAAACCTTTTCTCTTGAGATGTGGTTTACCCGCACCTTTACGAAGGGCTTCTTCTTCCGCTTCTTTCTCTCCATAATAATAACTAGGTTTGATATCATCTCGTTCGGCTCGAAGACGAGCACGTTTAGCTTTTTGTTTATCTGACAAACGATACTCAAAATAAGGATCTGCTTCTTCATCAGAATCTGAAGTAAAGTAATCCGGCCCCGAGCCTTCAGAATCATCGGTCTCTGATGAACCAATGTGTGACTCAGGATCTTGTTTAGAAAGTGTAGGGTCTGATTCGTGTTGAGGAGAGATAAGGAGATGAGCGTTCGGTTTAGATTGAGGGCTAAGGATTGGGAGGGCTTCTTGAGTAGGAGACATCATATTGGTGTCGCGAAAAGTGCTTGAAGTTGAAAGTTCAGGTGGTATCTTGAGAGATGAACTTGATGAAGATGGTGCCAAAGCTGAAGGGTTGAATAAAAAGTGTAATCAAATCGTTGGAAGGTGAGCGATGATAGGACATCACAATTAACATTGATTTATACCAGTGAATGTAGAGATGGCAAGCAATCGAGAATAGAAAATAATATAACATTAGCTCATGTCCCTGATCAGGCACCAACCACGGACGGTCTTTGTCACAATTTCGAGATAAGTGTAGATGATAGCGACGTACGATGGCTGATGTCTGGATGGGCTGGAAATGTGAATTGTTGGGCCTGGGGAGAGGTCTCTGAACCGCTGGGGATAGGCTGCATTGTAAAGTTTGTTGTAAAGTACAGTGGATGATGTTTTTGAGTGAATTGAAGGATATTTCAGAAATCGATTAAGAAGACTGAGATCATGAGATTGAGTTGAGGATGATAAAGTTGAAAGTGATATCGTTTTCTTGATGATATGATATCGATTGATTACATTTTTTAATCCTAATTTGTCAAACTTCATCAATAAAGACATACTCAATCGACCTGACCATGGCATTCGATACACCCATGTGACATCTAGACATGTAACCTCAGTTCCTGTGCCTGTTTTACATACAACTCATAAACAAACAACCTGAGAAATGAGAGATCCAGACTCCAGTGAAAAGATTACTGAGCTTCAGAGTAAGCAAAAGAATTAACTTGAGAATCAATTTCTACTCATGATCAAATAAGATCTCATGTAAAACAAATTTATTTAAATTTCTTAAAACCAAATCATCTTGAGCTGCTGTGGAAGCATCATCAAAGCAAGAGTATAGATCAGGAGCTTTAAAAGTCTGGGTATATATCAGAAATCAGAAATCATTTCTTTTTACATAGTCATTTTAGGAGCTTTGGATGGCAAACTCTTTGGATCTTCATTCCCGGATAATTCACAATTCACAAATGGTGTCTATTCACGTGACATTCTTTATTTCAAGTCATGATTACTTGAAGTGTCTATGGACTAAGAAACCCTATCAACCAGTGTATCTAAAGTAATGTGCAGCACAATGTCTCTAATTAAGACTTCACAAATAAGATACATAGCCAAACTGTTGTGCAAAAGCCTATACTGTTACATGTTGGCTCTGGCTGTTTAAGTTCCACTGCAAACCAACAAATGACCATGTCTTTAACCAGTGTCTTAAGAAATTTAAACACTTTAGCAAAAATAAAGTTGAAAGCTCTGATCCAAGATCACATATGTACCATACATAATACAAACATTTACAATCCTATGCTGATGATGATGAAATCTTATTTGATAACATAACTAAACCCATGTTACCCAACAAATAAACAAAATCAAGACCTAGGCTTAGCTACCTACACTTCCAGAATTAAACACTCTCCTGGCAAATAGAATATTTTTTTGGCAATAATTAATTGACATTTATAATATGATGACAATAATAATCAATTATTCCAAAAAAAAAAGTGAAAAATGTATCCTAATTGGGGGGTAGAGTGTTTAATCCTGAGGCTGACAGAGTGAATTGCTACATGTATATTCATGATGATCTTGCTGAGCTCTCAATCTCAGAAGCTTTCCATTCATAACTTTTCTCAACCTCTGTTTCTGTTGATCTTACATACATACACCACGGGGCAACTTTGAACTGGGACCACGTGAAATGTAAGTTGGGTATGACCACGCCGAGTGGTTGTGTAGAACAGGTGAAGGCAGTGTGAGTGCGGCTACGTGGCCCTCACCCGATGCTTGTCACTTGCTCTACACATCGAGAGGAAGACCATGTCGGCATGACGTGGCTTACCAGCCTATCAGTTGGTGAGCTGGTTGGTACGCGCGCGACCTGCCAGCAAGGTGCTCAGCACGTGATTCAGCTTGCGTGCCGGTAGTATAAGCTGATTTGCCTTCTGAGCACCTCGCTGGCAGGTGAGCTAACCAGCCAGGTGCTCAGCGGGCAATTGAATTTGGATCAGGTGCTCAGCACGTGAACAATCCTCCCTCATGTGAGTCATTATGGCTCAGGTTCACTCGCAACAGGGCAGCTCATGCATCTTGAAGACATCTTTTAGAACATTTTTTTTTCATTTCAATTCATTTCCATCCACATGTATATACCAAATTAAGTATTACACATTCATAGTCGAAAATGGCCAAGGTAATAAACTAAACAGGATTGAAAAAAACAATTGAAAAAGAAGAAAATCAAGTAAATAGAAATAAAATGAATAAAAAACATGTAGCCCTAGTAAAGCAGAAGGAAAATATATAGAAAAATAAAGAGAAGAATTGTTAGTAAAGAAAGTAATTAGAACAAAAAGAGAGAGATAGGAATCAAGGTACATACTTACAATTAAAACATATAATTTTGAACAAGACCAATTGGATATAAGAAATGCAATTGAAAGAATTTATCAAAATTAAATCAAAAGAAATCAGTATCAAGTAAAAGAATAATAAGACATAAAAATAGGAAGAACTCCCGTTTATCAGTTAGAGATTGATTGGGTGACGAGATCTTGATAACCAAAGCAATGAATCAATGACAAATTAAAAAAAATTGTACTCAATAGATAAACCGAAGTGATAGAAGATGAGTTGGAGCAATTTGCAAGCTAAATGATGCAGACTGGTGATGATAGCTTTGACACCCTAGAAAACAATCGAAAGACATGACTAGTTGTAAACATCATAATACAAGGCTCTTAGTATCAAGTTGGCAATATTGGATGACAAAGAAGAAGAAAAGACTTACGTGATGGGCTAGCTCAATATAAGCAAAGAGTGATCAAGAAGAGCTGTTGGCCAAAGTGATTTTGAAATTTGAAGGTCGCGTTTCCAGGCTGTGTAAATATGTACTAAATGTCATGCCTGGTGACATTTTCATAACCGGGCTTATGGACAATGAAGTATGACGTCACAGGTACATGTCACAAATCTCACTACACTTTGTCCGCTGCCCCAGTCTAGCCCATTCTACGCTCGAGTTCTTCATCACACATGGGTCAGTGATCACATCACATCGATCACCTTTGTCTTGGAGCCACTCATTCATTTGACTTCTATTGCATCATGATTCTGATAGGTATCAGTTGGCTGGATCCAACTCTTTCTTTTCTTTCCAACCACTCTTTCAAATTTCATTCATTCAGATTCATATTTGCTGACTCTGGTCCTCTTCCATTCATATTGAAGTCCTTTGATCGATTGTTTCATTTGTCAGCCTTTACTTCTTTCATATTTATCTCATTCAAGTTACTGTGAAGCTTGATGTCATGATTTGCTCCTGTTTGAAGTGTTAATTTCAAACCCTTTGATTGTTTGTTTCATTTGTAAGTTCTCTTTTCCCCTTGCTTGAACGATTTTCTGATGTATCAATGAAGTTGAAGACTGACCTTTTGGTACTTTTCTGTCAATTTGTTCATATATTCATCATCATTCCTCTCTACCAGATATCAATGTTCTCCTTCCTTTTTGTTCATATGGTTCTTATTGTCCCGTACACCTGGATCGATCTCGTAGATTGTAGGTCTTTCTTTGTCCCAATTTTTTTTATCTCTCACTGATCAATTCATTGGTTTACTGCTTAATCAATAGAACCAATTGATCAAATCTATCAAGCACTACAATCAATAATCAAAAATTTCACTCGCAGACTATTTCTATTTCTGTTACCTTACTGTTTTCAATGTTGTTTGTGTTTCTATCATCACCGTAACTAGTTTTTGTCCATGCAAAGATCAGATTAGTTGGTATACTATGCACTGTGTGAGCAAAAATTGAGAACCTCCCAGCCTGATTCAACTGTTGTGGCTATTCAGCCATCATGAGGCTGGATGAGCCAACGCTCACCAGCTCAATACAACTTCCGTACAGTACAAGCGTGTGAGCTTTCACACCTGGTCGTCACAAAGCTTGCCTCATACCCTAACAAGGCGAGTCAGCTCACCCGTTCATTTATGATATGAGTTGACTCACCCGCTCATCAGGTGAGTTATCACGCTTTAGCAAGGTGATCAGATTGGGTGAAGGCCACACTGGCTGGCACGTGTAACTCACGTTGGGTATGACAATGTAGACAGCACATATTTCAATGGCTCACGTGAGCATCACGTGCCATCCGCCCCGTGGTGTACCATCATGAACTTTCATCAAGAAATAACCACTCATCAAAAAGACTTCAATTCATGATCCAAGTCTTAATATTATCACAAGCTTATTTAAAGAATGTACAATCATCTTCAATTCAATCTTCAAAACACACAATCCAAAAAGATTGAATCTTTCATCAACATACATCATACAATCTCAATGTTTCATCAAGTTCAGATGTATGTATGTACTAGATAACTAGTCAACATGAATTCTACAAGTTGTACCCGTGTACTACCCTTACAATCTCAGAATCAAGCTGGGCTCCGAAACCGAAGATCCGTCGGATACTCGACGGAGCATCCGACGGTTCCGGATATCGGATGGGACCTTGGAGCTAACCGATAG